AGAGTCGTATAGTTGGCATATAGTTGGCATAACCCTTACAGAGTTCCTGCTTATAAAATATGCCAGTTTTTCATCTGCAATATATTAATTCAATATTTTTCTTCCATTAGTTTTCTTTCAGAGCTCTTTATATATGTTTAGCGCTACTCGGGTAAAAACAACTGAATAATTGAGAAAACTGCACAAATTCAGGTCAGAAATTCCTCCAAAATCTTCCATATTTGCTAACGATTTGCGAGCCGTTTAATCTCCACTAAATTAGTCGCGTTATTGTAACAAAGTGTAGAACACGATTTGGAATGGGTTCCGACTGGTAGTTCAAATGGTGCAGCGTAATCGCGCTCTGCTGCGGCTGTGAAAGTGTTGGGTGCGTGTTCGGCTACACTTGTGATGAACAGCAGTTGTTTGCGTGTCATATGAAGTCAGCATGATATAAGGTTGCAGAATACTGAAGTCGATGTTTGGCACACCGCTACCTGATACTTACTCGGTGAGGATGCAGCAGTTGAGCGGTTTATGAGTCAGACGTTTTGGAAGCCTCTGACTTCAGTGTTCAACTCTCACGAGAATGACAGTAGAATGATGCCGACAGTTTCATTGCTTGAAGCCACCTGAGTTAAAAAACTTCACTTTCTGGTAGGATTTGTATCCTTAACCGAAAAAGTCGGCGAGTTTACTTCAAAACTGTATTATCTGCTAGGTCAAACTACAGTTTAGTAAAATGATAAATCAATTACTGAGCAAGGTAAAATTTTGAAAAACGTAGCTTTGTTTAACTCAACTGTTTTTTTCGTGTCTTACATTACTCCTTACTTTATTTACATCGTCTGCCATCAGCTTCCATTCATTTCTGCAAAAACTTCAAGAAGCTACAGCAGGGAATCCAGTGAGTTACGTTTTAAAGTCTCCGAGACATTGTCTCGCGTGGTGTACCTAGACATCAGACGTTCCAGGAGAGTTAATGACCCACTACAACTTGTAAATTAAGACCTTCCATCCTACAAAAGCTTCACCGCTATGAAATCAAAAAACGCCGTAAATGCTGAAGGCCACCACTAATGGCTTCTTTGCTGATGCTACAGAAAAAAAAAAATCTATAACGGTAAATAAAAATTGCTACTAAAAACGGTTGAGCTATTCGAAAAAAAATTACTGTAAGCATGTCATGATCTAATGCAACAGTAAAACCTGGAAAAAAAGTAAAAATTATTGCGGAAGAGACCTTATTACATATAAATGCTAAAAATTTTGAAGACTCAAAACCAGTTCTAACCTGGAAGCGGTGTGTGAAAACACGACTTTTAACAGCAGCAAGGGCTGCACCAGCAAACAATGAAACCCTATTATCACACCAAGGCATCCATTGCGTTGTGCATTTCTCACTAGGTAAAAACTCAAAGCCAGCCAGCACCCCCACATCCCACCCTACAGTGACCTATAAGGTTTCTTCAACTAAAAACCCGACCAGGCCTTCAAAAAACTCAACGGTTAACAAAGCTTTATTAGTTACAAAAAGTGCTATTCAAAGCGTTTCAAACAAACATGACAAAAAAGTGCTAATAATAAAACTAAGTCAAATTTTGCATGACATATCCAAATTCGATGGAACAAAGCAATTAAAAAAATCGCATAAAAAGCAAAAAGTAGTAAGGGAAAACCCTCTGAAACATAGCGAGACCACCAGAAAAAAGAGGAAACTATAGCACTAATAAGATGCAGCTGAAAGAAAAAGTAAAGATGACACTTCACCTTAGAGCTCAGAAATTTGAGAAATATGAAGTTTTTTATCATACATATTAAGAGAATTACTAAATGAGTCCCAAGTCCTGGCACTCACACAACCCATTTGATTCGAACCCAGGCTCAAAGCACCGGCTTCGTTCATGTATCTACATCTATTATTAAACGATGAAAAATATATGAATCAAATTTACGAGACTGCCTGTAAGCGAACAAACGGTCAACGTGCAGAAAACTTGAAAATCCTGTCATGAGTATCAACTGCCAAATTCTTCCTGATAGCGACTTAACATCGAATAATGAGCGCGCTCCCTTCGTGAAGCATTGGCGCCATGAAGCATGCGAGAACCGGCGGCGCCCAAACCAGCACCTTCTACTCGACGTTCAGCTGTTATCGGAGCAACTATGCCTAAAATTTAATTGCGCATGGAATGCATGTAGAAGAGCAGGAAGTGGAAAGAAAAAAGCGCATACGTTAAAACCACTCCTGCAATGAGCTCATCCTTCAAAAGAATACAACATGACCCAAGATGAAGTTTTTGAATCACGCACTAATCTAGGCAAAAAAAAAACCAAAAAATTGAACACCGATAAGCAGAGTAGACAAATAGTAAGTGTTTCTCAATATGCAGGAGACTGCGCGCAAATGAAATAAAAGAAAACTATGACAAAGCTACACAAATTCGTCTTCATACACATACCCTGGTTATTTTTTCCAATTCCGGTACCTTCAGTCCACCCCATGGACTTCAATAATTTACTGCCTATATTCGACTCATCCAATGGCACTTCTTGAGACCATGCTGAGTAATCAGCTGCGTCACCACCAATGGCGTCTTTCGTAAAACCTAAGCAAAAAAAACAGTTTCTTATAGCATTTTAATTCTACAGTGAAACAAAGACCAGAAACCAAGTTAGAATACCGCTTGGGTCCAAGCCAAACATGTTCCTCCTTTCTTTCGCTCGATCACGATATTGCTGTGGCCTGGGATATGAATAAGGCTCAGTAAAAAGGGGGGCAGATGGAGCTGCTTCGCTCGTAATTTTCTGAGCCATGTAGGCTTCCAAATTCTTCTAAAACGAGCTTCGAATAATAAAAATAAAAAAACGCAAAGACGACAAGAAAGTATTGTGATAATTTATTAAAAGACTGAAGCAAAAAAACTCAATAAATACATTCATTATCAAACCTTATGCATGTCTGACATCTTCACATGCTTCATTAAAACTTCAAGACTACCAAACTTTCGCTTGCAAAGAATGCAGAATTTCTTCTCCGAATCTACTAATGTCCCTTCATTGACATTCCTAAAATTATCACAGAATAAATGCAAGATCAATAAATGCTTCCCGAATAAAAGAATGAAAGAAGTCTCAAAAAGACCTTCGACAAAGACGCATGAAAATAAAAGAAGTTACTCTACCATTTGAGTAAAGAAGAGTACAAACATACATTTTATTTACAGGTGGCAACGATTCATTCTGAAGCGGGACACTTGAAGCATCTTTAGGCCTGCTCGTTGATGCTACTGTACCACTATTTAAAGGCGGTCTACTGATACCTGTGGCAGCAACTTTTGGTGGTGGGGGCAAATCTTCTTCCTCATCGCTTAAAGACCCCAACGGATTCTAAATTTGAAAAAATAAAATATTTGAAAAACGCTACAAATGAGTCTCATGTAATAAAAAGATAAACCTTTGATTTCTCAAGCATCTTGTAAGTAATGTCAGCCGTGGACTCGGAAGACGGTTTCGACTGGCTGGCAGTAACTAGTGGTGAAGTAGTCTCCAATTTTGGAGTAGCCTTCACAGCTAACAAAACTTTACTTTGACGTTTAGCCCATTTTGCCATTTCTCGCGCAATATCTTTAGCCGACTTTCGTGGCTGTAATATGTGACAGGATCTGGGACGTAAAAAAAATACCAACAAGCATGTGATTAAAGGTTTATCCGAAACGGTAAGTCTGCCAAAAACAAATAATATAGGTATTCCTTGAACATGACACCCACTTCTTCCTTCTTTTCAGTTTCTGCAGTTGTAGAAGTAGGATTAGCATTCTCAACACTGGTAGGCTTCGTGGCATCAAAAGTCTCACCATTAGAAGCTTAAAATCAAGAAATAACAAAACAACGATGCTGAATAATACTAAGATAAGAAATATTTATCTTAAGAATTCTAACAAGACATATAATTTGAATGTCAAAAACTAACTAGTCTGTTGTGATTCTGGGTTTTTTTCTGCCAATGCATCGCATGGAATATATGCCTGGTATGTTGCATTCCAACTGTTCCATTTCTGAGAATTTGCATCCCAGTAATATTGGGAATTACTGTCATAATATAATCCGGTTGTAGGATCATAATACAGCCCAGAAGAAGACTCGAATTGGAAAAGGGTAGGATTGGGTGGCACTAAAGATTTTGAGGTCTTTTTAAAAAACCAACATCACAGAGATGAACGTACTATTTCACAAAATTATAACTCACGATATTTTTTAAAAGTACCCCAAGGGGTTTCTACCGTCCCGAGATCAACAGGAGTGTTAGTAGCCTCAATCTGTGCATTTGCCAAAAGAGGATTTTCTGTAGACACTGGAGCATTCCTTATTTCCTAAATATGACAATGAGTTATATGGCCACGACAGGAGGATCAAGTTTTAGATTATAAAAGTACAACTCTCCTTACTTTGAAAGCTCAAAAAATAAAACTTCAAGAATTTTTTACTACTCAAATCTACAAATTTTTTCTATGGCTAACGTGTTGAAAAATCTTGTTTCAGCGTCTACCCTTGAAATAGTTTTTCAGTCTACTATTTGCCCTGAGGCGGATCTACCATGCTTTTTCCCAAACCCAAGTTATCATTTACTGAAAAAAGCGTCTTTTTTTTTCGCTAGAGCACCCTCTAAGAACCAGAATGTCCAATATGTTGTTCGATGATTTGACAATTAATAGCACAGCACCTTAAAACTCAAACTACATTCAAATGGTAAAAACAGAAACCAAAGAAACGAAGAACGGTAACACTAGAGAGCACCACTAAGTCTTAATCCTCAACAGTTCAAGGCTGCTGAGAAATTGCCTACAACACCCTACAGCACGTTACCATAGTAAAACTTTAAGTCCTTCAGTATCACAAGGAAATCTCTATTACCTACTAAATATTAGGAAATAGAAATCAAACAACGCCCAAAAGTTAGAAGTATTTGTATTAGAGTATATGAAATGAAACTTCTATTCCAAAGTTAGTAGGATGCTAACTAACAACTGACGCACCTGGTTGGGAATACCTTCAGATTCGTTTTTGAAAAGAAGTTGCATATTGTAAGCCTGAAAGAGCTATCAAGTTTTTGAACCAAAAGGTAGCCACATCAGCAATCCGAATAATTTCGGTAACCAAGCACAACGCTTAGAATTCCACAAACTTACAGAATCTCCAGCAGGCTTCCCAGACAAAGTCATCTGCCGAATGAAAGCTGCCTTTGCTATAGCGAGTTGGGCAGCCTCCACGCCAGGATTACCAGCTGAAAATCAAACACCCTGCAAACAGCAGAAAAAGCGACAGAAAGGGCAGAAAATGCATCCCAAATTTCAAAAGTGAAAAGACATCAAACTAAAGGAATTATTTCAAGAAAAAACCCAAAAATTCAAATCATGTTACACCAAAAGTTATAAAAATTGCAACTGTTTCTTTGCTGATGCTACAGAAATTTACGACACCTGTACCAACTGTCGGTTGAAAAGCCGGCAATTGATTGACCGTATCAACAGCCTTTTGGGTAGATTCATTGGCAAGTGACATTGACAACACGGTATTCAAAGGCAGTCTTGAGTATGTGACCATGACTGAAGCAAACAAAGATAAACGAAAATAACAGGTACATACTAACGCACCATGATAATGAATAACCAGTTTCCTTCAGAAAAAAACATTGAAACTACCTCACAAACCAATTTTCTCTAAACAACAAGCAAATTTCATTCCGTAAACTCTATGAACATTACCATAAACCCGCAGAGAATTTGGCAGATGTCAAACATCTCCGAAAAGAATTTTTATTTGGTTACAAAAAAATGGCATAAAGTAGCGACAAGTCGTAAAATCAATATTCATGAAAGTTGCCTGATGCAAACTTCCCCAAAGTACCGAATTCAAACAGTGCCATTAATTTTTTTTGTGTTAACTTCCTTTGATTTATACATATATATCATAAAATACAAATTTCCTGCTATAAAGATACCTAATTGAAAAAAACAATACCTGTACATCCATTAATGATCAATGGTATTTGATTGAATGTTAACATTAGCCTTTCAGCATCGTCTGCACTTCTCATCTGAACATACGCGTAAAGGCCAGATTCAGCAATATGAACTCGAAGGACTTCCATAGAAGAAACTCTGCTCAGCTCAGCTTCTATTGCGGTTTCCGTGCATTTAAGAGGTATCTCACGAAGTAAAAGTGCTGAATAATACTTTTTTTTAACGTTAAAATAACTCTCCTTTTTATGCTAAGATCTGCATGTAAAAAATACTATAGAAAAAACCAAATCCTGTCCACAATTAATGACAAAAATAACCATTACCAGATAATATACAAAACCACCAAGAAATTTCAGGTTTTAAAACTTCAGAAGCACGAAGCAACAACTGAGTTTCAAAAAATCCAGCATATTTGCAACTGGATGCTCCACAGGAAACTTTGGTTGGCAAAATTGAAGATTTAACTGCATTTAAATTAACTTCCAAAACAAGAAAAACCATCCTTAATTAAATTCAGCTGTCAAGACTCGAAAAAAAAAAACAATTAGAGATAGAAGCTACAAGCTAATTTCTAACTTCGCAAAGGCTCATTCTAAACACATTAACTCACTGCCCCTGGGTTATTCTGCCCTCAACAACTGAATGGTTCCCGTAAAACTAATTCTATGTAGTCAAAACGAAAGACTTACTATCACATTTGGCGACTCCAATAGCTGCATAGCCTTTGCGTGCCAGATTATCCGATTCTATCCTCGTCAAATTACATTTAAAACAGGAACCACGATTTTTAAAATTTTTTATTGTGCACTGAAAAATACAATTAGGTAGTCAAAATCAGGTTTGGCAGATAAAAAGGATACTAAAAACCAACTTTGGCGCACATCCAATCCCTAGAACTGTTTGCACCAGTTGAGCGTCCATCAAGGCTATCGTAGCACGAATACTCCATTTTGATAAACCGTCCATCGTCAAGTTCTAAGGTGCCCTGAAAGTGAGTTTTACCTTATAAGAAGGAAATGTCACCACATTCTAATATGTTAGCCCGCGGTTGAGAAAACAAGACATTGGAAGAGAACTGAGTTTTCTGACAAGCTTTACAAAAATCTAACACTGCAGTGACTCAACCACCGCTACTTCAGGAGAGGAGCAATTGTGAATAAACCCCAGCGAAGTAGCCTTAGGTCTTTAAAATTCTGCAGAAAACATGGTTGTTTAGTGCGTAATAGGTACAATGTCAAACAGAATGTTGAAGTTTTAAACAATCAACCACTTGTAAGCAAAACAACTACTGACAAAAGAAAACGCGCCCTAACGTGATATGAAATTTAATACATGGCATTTTTGCACTAGTTCCTAAATTTATTTTCAAAATAAGGAAGTCTGTGAATAAAAAAAAACTCCAATAGCATGTAATTGGTGCAATAGAAAGCCTCAGGTACAGCATTAAGTTCCACCTTATTGTACTCCATCCACGCTTGAGCGCTATTCACATCTGGAAATTCCACGAAGCCGAAGCAACGATCTGGACCTGTAGTTATTTTAGAAGTTAAAACATAGCCCTTTAAATGCAATCTGTGCACGGTTGCTTCGAGACACGTTTATCTTTGTTTCCGCGGATACACCTACAGAAAAATGCAGCGAGTACTACCTGTGCTCTGACCCTTATTTAGAAGCAGTCACAGCTTCAATCAGCTTGCGGCAAAAGACGAGTTTAGGAGCAACCACTAAAGACAGGGCAATGCGAAAACACTGTAGACTAAAACCGTTTGAAAGAATACATTCCAAGTATCTCCTTTTTGTTCACAAATGTAAATGAATAATTTCAAAACACTCAAAAACTAAGCTCAAGATGCTGGTCTCAAAAATTCCCCAAAACTCGCAAGTGCATAAATAGAGAAGCATTGTTTTCGTAAGCGATATATGGAATTGGATAACGATAAGAAGTACAAATGGGGTAATCAAACCAAATCGCTTACCCTTCCTTCAAAACCAACTAAGTTTTAATAAACCTTCAAATTATACTCAGTAAAAAAGCTACGCACTATAATTTACACGAGAATAAAAGCCTTCTTAAAACATATGCTTTGATAAATGCTCAAATATTTGAGGCGCAGCAAAAGTTAAAAAATAATGAAACTTAAGCCCTAAATGACGCTCATAATTTAAAAGACATTTCTCAAATCAATAATAGGATTGGTTCAAAACTTCATGGCGTAACCTCTCCCGCCAAAATCAGATTTTCCTATCAAAAGCCGAGGCTTTTATGTACAAAAAAATAGAAACCTGCCCCTTCATTTAGTAAAAAGTCTTATTAGAAAACCTAGCCATAGATTTTTATACCAACCCTAACTGGAAGTACGGCTAACACTTAAACTGTAAAAATACTCGGTATCTTTAGTAACAACAACGTGGGAGCAATGCTGATGGAGGTACGGAATGCAGAAAGGCGACACTTTCGCTCAAAAGCTCAGAGATCCTCAAGGCAAAACTGCTAATCCTAAACTTGCTAAAACCATGAATGTTTCTTACGCTCAATAATTGCAGAAAAAATATTGCAAGGTTTGAAGAAAGACTAATTATTCTTTTTAAGAATATCACAAGAAATTCTTAAGAAAAAGAACGGTAGAGAAAGCAAAAGCAGTTATAAAATATCTGAAAAGTTAAGCACAAATAACCACATGATAAAAGCAACTCAGAGTAGTGCCACCAAGGCAAATAACTCACAACGGAAGATTGAAATTTCTCTTACGCGCACATTTAAAAATTTGCAACTTGAAAAATACTTATCAAAAATAATCACCTTTGTGAATGATGCGAATATCTTTCACTCGAAAACCTTGATGAGCCACACGCGTCATAAGCTGAAAGACCGACCCTTTGACAACTGGGAAAAACACAAGCAAAACACGGTAAAGAAATAAAAAAATTTAAATATATACTGTATCACGCTGAAGATCCTGCGGAAGCTTTTTGAGCACAATTTTATAGTGAGGCTGGCCGTAAGCAGATAAGGAATGCGCGGACTGAGAAGATCTATCGTACTGAGAATGAAGTGACGAGAGATAGGGAATCGCACTCATAAATTTATCAGAATCCTGAAAAATATTTAATATTTAAAGTAACAAGCACCGACTATCGATTGACTCCAGCATAAAAATTTATTTTTTTACGCTATACTAACAATACGCAAAATATGATAGCTTGCGCAAACTTTTTCCCCGTTACCTGCAAGTACTAAGTATACAGGAAATAAAATTTAATCTCTCAAAAAATATTAGTGCAAATTAAAACCATTTTGCAACGAAACCTGCAACTACGGAGTTTTCCTTTCTGCTCTATTTAATTTCATCACCATCCAAAAATCAATTAAGTAAATCATGCATTACTCCTCCGATCCCCCACTCTTCTCACTTTCTAAGTAATTAATACAAATGCGCCTCAAATTAGCCTGTAAATTCATCTTAAAGACTAAGCGACAGCTAAAAACAACTTTGTAACAATTAACACTAAAAGCACAAGTGACATATGGCGGGGTCTCTTAACGCCACAGTCAATATAAACTGTCAGAAACCAAAAAAAGGCATACAGAATAGAAGTGACATAAATCTACTGGAAAAAATATGTCTAGTTACTTTAAGGAACTGAATCAATTGTAAATAAAAATTTTAAATGCAAAATAACTGTTGAAAACAATAACAGGCATGTCAAACAGCAGCAAAACTTCTTTAAAATGCCTTATTTAAGGCAAATGTTTGATCGTAAGCTAAATTGTCGCCAAGGAAAGCAAAATTATAAACAAGCGGACAACAAAATTTTCCTATGTCAGCGGTCGTAGGGGATGATAAAAAATTTTTTAAAAAGTGTTCTAAAGCAAACATTAAGAAAGTTACCGTAAATGAAGCAGTAAAAACCAAACCCTATCAACAGGAGACCGATCGTCGTATTTATAATATCCGCGACCGCGATCTAAGCGGTAATCACGATTACGTTCATTATCGTCCCGGACTGGCGAGTCTGATCCTGAACGAGGCCAATGTGATTCTCTATCTGAAAAAGAAAGAAATAAACTTCTCCAGCGTCCCAAACAATAAATTATAACCAAAAGCGAAGACCGTGAATAATTCTGCATATCTCCTGTCACAAATAACCTTCAAAGTTTTCGTAATCAGAACAGAATTTTTGCAGAACCATTTATACTCATCTAGGAAACATGGACAAACTACATTTATGAAATGCGTGAAAAAAAGCCAAGTACTTCCCCACTCTAAACTTCGCGAGCCAAAATTATCTTTAAACCACGATGCAAAGACTTACAACGGGCTCTAAATCAAAAACTTAGGAAAGTTCGAAAAAGAGGCACGAAAAAATACGTACAACGTCGACTCCTTCGCGACGATCGCGAACCAGATCTCGAGCGAGACCTAGATCTCGAGTAAGACCGAGAACGTGACCGAGTTCTTGAACGCGGTCTTGAATGCCTCCGACATCGCCTGAGCAACAAAAAGTTCAAAAAACAAAATGAAAGTTAGATACATTTCAAACATTCCCGATCGCCTATACTTCAGATTAAAAAAACCAACCTGTCATAACCTCCTGACTCTTCCTCCTCACCATTGTAAACAAAAGGAAGCATTTCCAATTGTAAGCAATAGTTCTTTATGTTCAGCAACCAGTAAACTAAATAAAATACATTTTACGAACAGAAAACGATGCTTAAAAAACGCTGACGCGCTGTAAAAAGCTAAAGCGAAGCAAGCAATCGGTCCGAAACATTGCCAGTGAAAGGCATATTTTAGAAATACGCAAGATCTGTACGCATACACCTATGCACTGCTTCGCAAAAAATGAACCACAGCAAATAAGTTCCGGCGAATAACGATCCCACCAAACAGAAAAAGAAGACAGCAAATGAATTAAGGAGTGACGATTGTAAACATTCTACAGAGCACACGAAATAGTAGGGCTGGCCGCCATCGCAAAGATGGAATAGCTTGCAGATGGATCCTTGCCAAGTAACAATAAATGCTGAGAGACCTCACATCACCTACACAATTATATGTTTAGTTTACTGTAGTTCCAAATATTCGTGTTAATAAACAATTTTGGACATATTGTGGAGCACAAAATTAGCCAGAAAGCAAAGACGTATCGATCCCAATTATAAGCCGGTTTCCTTTAACCAGCTGCAGCTAGTCGTCAATTGTAAACGTAGGGTGTAGAGAAACATGGCTTAGTACAGATGCAACAATTTTCTCTTCCTTTCCCACTTCAAATATGTCCACTATGAAACTTGAAATTCTTACAAAGTTCTACATTAAATCAGTTTTACGGGTGTTTTTTTCTCTGCTGTCGGCAGCAAGGAGCAAATGTGAACAGATGGTTTTCATCCGACTAATTGTGCTGCCCAGTATAAAATACTAGTCTAGCATGAACTCACTGCTGTCTAGAAACACTTACAATTTAAGTTTCTAAAATGTGTGCACATAAAGTATCCTTGTAACCTTTCACCCAGAATAGAACTATTTCACACTTTGACTTCTCATCAGTTACCTTATCTTCTAATTCTCCTTACCCACTCGCATCTCGTATATTATGCAAATTTTTGCCAAAATATCCGTCGTATGAAACTTTTGTTCTCTAATGCGCAAAAAAGCTCTGATGGCTTGATTATTTTTCAAAGTAGGAAGACTCATTAGCAACTTTGTTTGCGAAATTGTTTAGTGTAACAGTGAACACTGTTGGAGATATGTGACAATGCGATTACATCGATGTTGGTTTTAGAAGGCATAGTTTTTCATAAAGTTCTGTAAAGCTGCAACTGGCGTTTTGTACAATGTTTTGCAATTTTTTTCCAACAGTGTTAATCTAATCAAAGAATTTTATACATCATAAGTGAAATGCTTTGGTTGTTTTTTGAGTGAATTGATATAATGTATAAATTTCTTTGGTTAAATGACCATCTTCGAAAAACATTAGGTTATAAAAAAAAAAAAA